CTTTGGTACTTAATTTCCAGCCATGGATGCCTAAAGATGCACAATTTATTTTTATTTTTTTATGGTAAGAAAAAATCTATTGAAAAACAAAATAAAGTATATCCACTGGATAGATTGTCCACCAAAACAATACATCAACATAACGGGAAGAGCAAAACATGATTAATTGAATTTCTCTCACAATTGGAACCCCAAAAACAGATTAGACTGTACAGGTGCTTTCCAAAACTCGAAGACACAGAAGCCCAGAGTTAAGACAAAAATCATACTTTACCCCATAATACCTCCATCCCCACACCACTATAATTCACAAAAATCTTATTACTCCTCTCCAGCCAAATTACAAAAAGTTGCAGAGAGTATTTATCTATAACCATTATAATTACACTTTTCAAAAAACCTACGTCATCCAGAGAAGACATGGTTAGCACAAGATGACAGCATTGAAATATCCGCAAACAAAGAAAGAATATATCGCACTGTTTCAGATTTATTCTAAAGAAACTAACTCCTACAGCTGGGAAAACTAAAATAATGTAACTAATGAGAATGGAACACTACAAGGAGGCCATCCGGAAAAAAAGAGATTGCAGAGGTTGAAGTATTTTTTGTATTTGCTACTAGCTTATCCGTTTTTACTTCTGTGTAATGAATTCACATATTGGTTAATAGAAAAACTTATTGTTACCTGAGCCATTCGCACCAAGGAATCATAGACAGCAGTGTCACCATGGGGATGAAATTTTCCTAGAACCTGCATCAAAGCATTTTCTATCTTAATCGTAAATATAAATATTGTGGATTCATACAAAAGAAACAGAAAGCCTCTGGTTACTAACCTCTCCAACAACTCTAGCACATTCCTTGAACGGTTTTCAAGATGCAATTCATGCATTGCATACCTGTAGTTTGAGAACAATACAGAACAAATTAAACATCACTCACAGAAATTCTTTTCTTCCCAGCAAATTTTCTCAGGAACCAAACAATCTACTAAGCAAACATCACTCACAAAATACGACGGTGCACAGGCTTCAAACCGTAGCGAACATCCGGCAGGGCGCGGCCGAGCTGGACAGACGTAGTGTAGGCCATGTACGCTTCAGTGGCCTCCTTGTGGAGCTCAACACGAACGATTCTTTCTTCGCTGTTCTCACTTGTGTCCTTGACCAGCACACTTCCATTCCCATTCTGCCCCTCGCCCGGGTCCTCCTTTTGCGGGTCGTCCTGAAGCCTCGCTTTGATTGGGCGGACGTGGGTCCCCGACCAGCACACTTCCATTCCCATTCTGCCCCTCGCCTGGGTCCTCCTTTTGGGGGGGTCGTCCATGGTAGGGGTTTGGGGGGAAACTGAGGGTTTCATAGAGATTAGGGCTGAAGGCGCCATTTTGGGGTTTTGGGGTTCAGCTACAATCTAAAACCCTGGCTTTGCGATTGCTTTTGGAATTTCGAGGCCTCTTGCGCGCCAAGATGAGTGCGGGTTTTTGGATTGGAAGCGCCGCACGTGACTTTCTAAGAGCATTTTAAAGGATAAAATTAAAAATAAAAAGCATTTCGAAGGAATATGCAGAGACGAAGTGAACGTGTAGAGCAAAAGAAAACAAACAAATTGTCCACTCAAAAAACGGGTCAAGAAGTTGAAAATGGGGTTTTTTTTATCACATATTTGAAGCCGTTAGATCTGGCCAAGCATAATCCTACGGTTAAAAATGAATAGTTGCTCACAGGTACTCAGGTGCATCGGTGCCTTGGTTTTTCCTACTTTCTCCCAAAACAAAAAGGGTTGAAAAAAGATATGGCAAATCAATTTTGCTTTGAAAAATGATGCAGGTACGAAAAATCCTGAGTTTCTTTAGAAAAAGAGTCCTTAAAAAAAGTGAAATTGCTTTGAATTAATGGGCTTAAACCAGTTTTGCTATATTGATCAATGACAATGAAGAGGTAGAGTAGTAAAGGAGGAATTAAGCAGGCATCAACCCATTAGATAATATACTTTGCTAGCCTCTTCTGACCAAAAAAGGGGGCACAGATGCACAAGTATCTGATCATCCTTAGTTGTCCTTTCCATGCAGTGGGTTGTCAATCTCCTGTTGAGCAACACAATTCAGACATTAAACCACCCTACCCCTTGATGGTTGCTAAACCAAGAGAAAAACAATTCAAGTGATAGAAAGGGATCTAGCTTACCTTAAGAACTGGATCATCCAGACATGAAACTGAACCAAACAATTCGCTGTTTTCCTCAGCACCTCCAAGTGGAGCGTGGGCAGTGACACAGATGCCATGCTTCTGACAGAATTTGACAAGAGAATCAATCTGATTCACAGCAGGCTTCACTTTGGAATAGGCTAAGCAATCTCTCGTTAGAAATATCTCATAGTTACTGCAGCTAATTGTTCCATCAGATCCCAATTCATAGAGAATTCACAAATGAATGAAATTAAAATGCAAAAACATAGAATATGAATGTTTTACTAGGGCTGGCGGCATATAGTAGACTAAGCTGGATAAAGGACATATAGAAAGTTCAATTTATATGTTTATCAAAAATATCAAAATTCCAAGTAGCAACAATAACAGTTCTTACTTCCAAGTTTCAAAGTAGCAACAACAACAGTTCTTACTTCCAAGTTTCAAACAGAGTGATGGAGCAATAACAAAGTGACAGGACTCTTTGTCCTTCCTCTCTCTTGATGAAAAAGACCACAATATACGGGAATGCATAATATCTGATGTATTACTTAAGAGGTTTTTATATGCACATCTTACAACAATCAATTAGCATAAATCTAGCCCACAATTATGCCTTTAACTAAAGTAGTCCACTCCACTAATCACTAGTTATGCTAACAAGACTCTTTGTCCTTCCTCTCTCTTGCAAAGTCAAAGCAGCTCCAAAGCAGAGGGGCAATCTCTTCTATATCATCCAGATGCTCTCCTAGGAACACAGCATCAATCAGCCCAGGAAAAGGAGAAGCTATTTTGCCGCCTTGTTTCCGTTGTTCCCTCCAAGCATTCAATTCTTCATCTTCCACATGACCGGCCCACACCACTGTAACCACCATCAAATCAACCCCCGGTCCCCACTTCTTCCCACGCCATCCGTCCACAAGTATCTTCATTTTAGCTCTCCCCAACTGAACAACAAATCTGTGCTCCATAACAATAATGTTAGGACGCTCCAATGCATCGCATGATACCATGAAAGGGGTGTCTTCGTATGAATAATGAAAGTCTAGGCTGGTTTCCAAAGAACTCATGTCCAACACGGCTCTCGAAATAGCTTCCCTTACGAAACGAAAGGTGTCATGCTCCCCTATTACCAAAACCTCAAGTTTGAGCACTTGGTTGTTTGTCCCAAGGGCAGAACTGGAAGCACCAACCTGCAACACAATTTTTTAGCATCTCCATCCAAGAACCAACAATATATAAACACAAGAAAACAAAACATGCTTGTCATGCTCCAAGGAAAACAAACACAAGCATATTGCATGGAACTTGACTAAATACTAAGAGAGAAGGTAGGGGAAGAAATAAAAAATTCAATATCCTACTTTTCTTCCTGGACGTGATTTTGGCACATTAGAGGTCTTGGGATCTGGAAGCAGTTCCTTCAGGATCCTGCTGAGCTCTTGTCCACGGTGCTCCTCAACAGCCAGGTCTGATTGAAGTTTTCTAGAGCGTTCCAGGGACTGCAAGTTTAAGGCAAGGGTCCACTTAAGTTCCCCACATAAAACGTGAACACAAAGGAGAAAAAGTAACAGAAAAGAAAAAGATTATAGGATTTTAAGTGTCACAGAAGTCCACGTAGCATGCCTAGAATAAAAATGTTTCCTTTATGTCACAGCTGAGAGTAGCACAAAGGGGATCAACCTCTCTTTTATATCATGTCAACAGAAAAAATAACAAATAAATAAAACAAAACTTCAGATCAAGCTGAATATATATGTCACTGCAATTAACGAAATATACCATCACCTAAAGTCCTGTCAAAACACGGTAAATATGTTTACACCCTTAACATCGTTTCATGAAGCAACCACTTTAAAGTTTTCAACCCACGCAGTAGCAATATGAGCATGACGGGATTTACCATAAAAGTAACTCATACACTCTGTTAAAGACATCAATAATCATCACAATAAAATAAATGGACTCCACAAGTACTTCCACCCAAATTGCATAATCCATCCAACAATGAAAGGACAATCTGCATTAACCAATACCATAACAAGAAGCCAATTGTGTCCCAGATGAGACACATTCTCCTGTCTGTTTACTCTAACCTAGAAGCAAGTATTTGCAATTATTCATATTAGTTAATCAATGCATGCATCTTCATCTGCTCAAATGCTAACATCTAGTAAGTTCCACAACAATGGCATTGTCAATTAAGTCACATCCGACTACTCAACTGACAAAACTCTGGCCAACCTCACACCAAGTATGGTTAGAGAAATGGAAATTTACCTGCTCAAGCTTTTTGGCATATTCTCTTCTGATATCCAAAACTAATTCAACTGCACTTGGATTTACCAGGTCAGGAGGGGTATCAGCAATGTCGGTAGTTGCAAGTGCTGGAGTAATACTCCTTCGCATAGCCTGAGCTTGTAAGAAAGAAAGAGAATATTAGCTGGAGTAATACTCCTTCGCATAGCCTGAGCTTGTAAGAAAGAAAGAGAATATTATCAAATAGCAGTGACCGCACTTTGCAAGCAAATAAGCAAAGAATAAATATATGTCAGAATTGAAGCATTGTCATCATTAATCAAAATAAAAGCAAGGGAGCACAAGCAAGAGAACTAATTTAATAAGGGTTACAGAAACTAAATAACCTACGTACTTATGTTACATTCTTCTTGGTATACTTCATTCAATAAACAAAATCTTTAAATTACAAGTCAACTGAATAAAGTGGCTGTCGTGTAGTGGTCACTTTGTAATATTGATAATGCCACAACCCATATTCCACAAAAGCCAAAATCCAAAGATCAAGCCTCCACCAACTAATCCAACATCTGGAGGTGATCTGTCCATTCAAGAGACAACAGGTTCATTGGGGTCTCTCTTATAAGAACTATTTGATATGTTAAGGAGCAATCCATTTTACTTAAGGTGAGAGAGTGGATTTATGTCGAGTCCCTTACCAACTGCACAAAATTTTGTTAGGAAGTAAATGCAGCCTTGAATTTATTTCCAATTGTGAAGCCTTGAGTGGAGTTGGATTACACATTATTGTCACTAGTAGCAATTCCTTGAAACACATCTAACATCGTTTCATGAAGAAACCACCCACGCAGTAGCAATATGAGGATGACGGGATTTACCATAAAAGTAACTCATACACTCTGTTAAAGACATCAATAATCATCACAATAAAATAAATGGACTCCACAAGTACTTCCACCCAAATTGCATAATCCATCCAACAATGAAAGGACAATCTGCATTAACCAATACCATAACAAGAAGCCAATTGTGTCCCAGATGAGACACATTCTCCTGTCTGTTTACTATAACCTAGAAGCAAGTATTTGCAATTATTCATATTAGTTAATCAATGCATGCATCTTCATCTGCTCAAATGCTAACATCTAGTAAGTTCCACAACAATGGCATTGTCAATTAAGTCACATCCGACTACTCAACTGACAAAACTCTGGCCAACCTCACACCAAGTATGGTTAGAGAAATGGAAATTTACCTGCTCAAGCTTTTTGGCATATTCTCTTCTGATATCCAAAACTAATTCAACTGCACTTGGATTTACCAGGTCAGGAGGGGTATCAGCAATGTCGGTAGTTGCAAGTGCTGGAGTAATACTCCTTCGCATAGCCTGAGCTTGTAAGAAAGAAAGAGAATATTATCAAATAGCAGTGACCGCACTTTGCAAGCAAATAAGCAAAGAATAAATATATGTCAGAATTGAAGCATTGTCATCATTAATCAAAATAAAAGCAAGGGAGCACAAGCAAGAGAACTAATTTAATAAGGGTTACAGAAACTAAATAACCTACGTACTTATGTTACATTCTTCTTGGTATACTTTGCTATGCGCCTATTTTATTAGTTACTTTCATCAAATGGTGATTTGTACTGTATTCATTCCTAAAATGACTGCCAAGGTTAACGAAGCTTTATAGTTATGCATCAATCCCCATCATCTAACCTATATTCTTAACTACCTTCATTTTAATGTATCACTTGATGGTCAATTGTAGCATAAACTTCTAATTCTGCTTAACATTCTGGCGTTCTCATACACAATGCAAACTTTAATTAAGAGGCCACAGAATCTATTATTTGCACAATGCAGCATAACATATACTCAAATTAGTAGCTCAAATTCCTAACTTCTTCTCTGAGCATGCGTACTTACCAGAGATACTGTACTACAAAAAAAAATTTGCAACACTTTTAATAGTGTTCCTTTCTTTAAGTCCGACAACTCCTAGTAATTTAATTCATCTTAATGAAGTAGAAAAGACAACTGCAGTTCAGCTAGCAAGCATTCTTACTAGAGGTAGGAGTAATACCAAAATATTAGGTATAGGTATTCAATAAAAGAGTCCTATAAGAATCCTTTCTTTAGTAAGTAATAAAATGTCAACAACCAACAACCTGCTGCTAATTTCTTCTTTAATTGTAAGCATAAATAAATAAATCCATAAGAACTTACACTTTCAAGGTCATTTTGAATCTCAGAGATAGCACGTCTCACTTCAGATCGAACTGTTTCATATATACTAGTATCGGAATAGCTGCGGCCAGGATATGTTTGCGGAAAGACATTAATGGACATATTAATTTAATAGCAAAGATTACATAGATAAGTTTTGTCCAAATTACCTCTGCTTAAGCAGTGTCCTCAGCCTTGAGTGGTCGAAGTTGGGGAACTGAAGCTTATCATGGAAAAGTGGACTTGCATCAATTAACATTTTTATTTTAGAAAGCAGTGCAGCCCTGGTGGACCTAGCATCATCACATTTTGATATTCGCTCTTTCTCCCTGTTTTTTTATTTATTTAAAATAATAAATAAATAAATGAGGTTAATGTGAAACTTTAAAAAAATAGATAAAATAAAGATATTAAACAAACATAGGTCACAACCGAATTAACCCGAACACTTGCAACCAAATCAAGGATGACTAATTTAACAAGAACAACAATTAAGACGCCACAACCGAATTAATCCCAACACTTGCATCATTGCACGATCATGGCTTGCTTTACAATAGCATGTGTGATGCAGGGTCATGAAAAGCCAAACTAATCAGAAAATAAATATGCTGAACACACCTGCAAATGACCACGGGCAGAAACAGTGATGATACTTCATCATAAAACTCGTCACCGAATGTCAAGAGCGGTTCCAAATCCCTTTGAAGAATCTGGACAGCTTTAGCGTGGTCATGTCTGCATTACAGAAAAAGCTATTACTACTACCAAAGACACTTGAGTTTCCAGTGAGTGTATAATGCATGCAGGCCGGCATCCAAATCAAAACAAAGATTGAGATTCGGGCTCACCTGTCAAGGGCCTCGAGGAATTTCTGTTTCCGAATCGCAAATAAAATCTTCGTAGAGTCGCTGTTTTCATCAACCTTAGTAAATCCAGCCAGGTAGTGCTCCACCTCATCCCATTCACCATGGATCACGCAATCCTCAAAATACCTCATATTGAAGAAATACCCTGAATCTTTCTCCAACCTTGATTCACACGCACAGACACAAGAACCGAAAAGAATCACTCATTATATAAACCAAACAAACAACATAAGTTCCATTAATTTGCTCTGTTTTTTTTTTCCAAAAAAAATAACGAAAAAAAAAGTGCCAAAATGTCTTCCTTTCAATTTTCTCAATTTTCTTGGCAACCAAGCAAACCCAAAACAACCGCCAAATGAACAAATAAACAAGCCCTAAGAACGTAAAGAAGACGAAAGGAAGGAAAACAAACTCACTCTCACCTGTGAACAGCGTCGTCGTATTTCTGTTCCTCCAAGAACCGGAGTATGAGAAAGACGAGCTCTCTGTTCCGGTGCTCCGTCATGGTTCGCGTTCCTCCTCTCGTCACCTAATTAACCACCAAAACAAGCCAAATTAGGGTTCTAAGTTCCAATGTTCCCACAAATTTCACTCGCTCCATCCCAATTCCTTGATTTCTCAATTCCGTACTCCACACGCCACAAAACATAAACAACCGCCACAGCCATATATATATATACACTTCTGCGTGAGCACCAAAAATTACGAACCTGTTTCAGATCTTCAAGGCGTCCAACACAGAGAAAGCGAGTGTGTGCGTGAGAGTCAGAGAGAGAGAGGGTGTGTGTGAGTTAGAGTGAGAGAGAGTGTGTGAGAGTTGAAGAACGAAGTACAAGACAGGAAGGATCTACGTTTCTATGGGTTTTCTTGGTTTCTAATTTTCTTTTTTCTTTTTGAAAGGAGGTTTCTAATTTTCTTTTTGTTTTGTCTTTACCGCTCTTTTTCTATATTTTCGGCTTCTATTTTTACTTCCCAAATTTCTAGAACCATCGTGGCATAATGTGTGTGCGTATGATGTGTGTGTTGCCATTTTTTCGTTAATTCCCAAAGTTTCTATAATCTAATCCGTTTATGAATAGGGGCCGGACAAATTAAATTTTCTATGGAACAAGGGCCGGAATGCCATTTAATTAAATTTTTTATTAACAAAACGAGCGCTTGGTGAGCCTTTGAGGTTTTCTATATTTTTTGTTGGTGCCATCTGTGTGAATAATAAATTTTTGGGCTCAAAGTGGAGGTAATTTGAAATTTTGGGAAATTTTTGGGGAAAAGAAAATCAATGAAACTGGTGTTCTAGCTTCATATGTACAGAAAAGTGAACAAAACGTGCATTCTAGCACCTTATGTAAATAAAACTTTTATCAAACTAGCGTTTTGGCTTCATATGTATTGCAACTCATTGAAATGGGTGTTCCGGCTCCATATGTCATGCCACGAAACACCCGTAATGTGACAACGACGCATGCCTTGAAAATCCCGAGAATACAACGTCCAATCACCAAGACGTCATACTCCCAAGTATTCCCAAGACACGTTAAGCCCTTTTTGTTTAAATTAAAATGGGTTGGATCAGAGTTTTAATGGCAGAGGAAAAATTAAAAACAAATTCTTAAGTTGAAACATGTTATTTAAAACCAACCCATAAGGCCACAAGTAAATTCAATAGTAAAAATACATTTATAAATCGATAAATGTTCCAGTCTAGGGTAATAACACTGCTAGTTTACTGTCGTGTTGATTAATACTTGTCATGTTGCTATTTCTAATACATGTCCACCAAAGAAAAGATGAAGAAAGAACAAACCAGACAAACTTAAAACAAGCCGAGCCCAGATTGTTAATACTATTATGTCATAGAAGTACATTGTTAATACTCTATTATAAAAGTACATTGTTAAACAAAAATGAGATCCATAACCGAAATAGTAACAAAAAATAAATCGATCATCAAAACTTAAAATACATTCCGAAAATCAACTAAAATCCAAAGATAAACACATAATTGAAGCAAAAGATAAAAAATCTCAAATCCAAACCAAACGACGACAATGACGATGATGATGACAACGATGGCGATGACGACGTGGCGAAAGAGGAGTAGAGCTCGAAGATGAGAAGTAGAGCTAAGAGCATCTGATCGAGGTTCGTTCGAGGTTTCGAACAATCCGAAAAAAGAAAAGAAAAAGAAAGAATAGAAGCACGATTTTAGAACAAGAAATTGAAGGTGAAATATTGAAAATTGTAGATTAGAGATGAATAATATAGTTGGACCTGAGACTGAGCTTCAATGGAAGCTCCTCTTGCTCCAACACCGAGAAAGCACCAACGAGAAAGGAGAAAATGAATCAGATTTGGTTTTTTGTATTCTCTTCAATATTATCATGAATTTCATATTTTAAATTGCTTAAATACTTCAAATTCATAGAGTTTCTTTATTAGAGGTGGAAGCGTTTCTTTATCAGATATATTTTAAACACTAAAATTGTAGCCTTATTCTTTTACATAGTGGAAAAGTTACTGCTGCTGCTCTTCGAGAACATAAACAAGGTCGAACCTCATTAAATATTGTGTCTCATTTACTTTACACGCAGCTCAATATTCTAATATATCCCGTTCATTTTGCAACTAACAATTTTTTTTATATTTTTAACGGAGCTCCACAAAGAACAAATTTTGAAGGTGATTGTCATGGTAATTACTTGATGTTAGAGAACCTCTATGTCCAGGGGAACTATGAGTTCAAGGAAGCTTCGAGTTATACTCATATGACCCTACTTCTTGTTCTTTATGCATAAACATATTCAAGTTCCATGTTCAAGACTTGACATCTAATCATTCTAGTGATAATCTATTAAAAAAACAAATTAAAAAAAAAACTACGTAACTGGGACTTGATGCAATAAGAACTTTAGCATTAGCTTCATGTATGTAGGAAAAGTAGCAAATAATTTCAATTGTAAATTTAATGTGGAAGCGTAGGAACGAGTACAAACATTTGGAAGTAAACACGTTAGCATAATAATGTTGGTGTAACAACAATTAGAAGGGTTGCAATTATATAGGCTTGCTAGAAAATTCTAACATCTGTTATAATGGATAAAAATGATTGCATAGGTCAGTTGACAAGAACAGTGTGTACCCTCGTTATACTCAAGTTTGAATCTTCCTCTAGTTTTATTACTTGTAAAAATAAATAAATAAACAAACAAACAAAATGGTTTGTCTAAAATAACTGGTCTCACCAAAATTAAAGCAATTACATTACAACATCTTCTGCCGTGGAAAAAACACACAAAACATAAAAGAAAAATAACAAAAAGAGAGAGATAACAAATTATACTGGTAAGAGACTACCTCCTGTTGCTCTTGTTGGAGGGAAAAAAGCAATGAGGAGCATATTACAGTAGAAGAAGAGTCAGCATCAACTTCACAGCTAACAATTCCCGAGCTGTAAAGTAAGCTCAAGGAATTTGGGAGAGTTCATTCTGCTGGCCATCACCAAAACCAGCATATCAATGTATTTTGAATCTTTAATCGCTTTCCACTTGTTGGACTGAACACACTCAAATTGCCTATAAAAAATTGCTTGTCATTGAAGACTTCCCCAATATATTTAGAGCCATCATCCTTTGGATCTCTTTTGCTGCATGATCACCGAACAAAAGGATCGCCAGCCCAACTAGCATCAGAAAAGCCTCGAAGCTCCAAAGTTGAGGTGGAAGGAAGCAATAAGCTTTGAAACAACGTCCCTCGAAGATAGCGTAAAATACGAATCACAGCAGCCCAGTGAAGAGTAGTGGGAGAATAGACAAATTGAATAACAATATGAACGGCATAGGCAATATCAGGGCGAGTAATAGTGAGATAAACCAAGCTCCCAACAATAGTGCGATAAAGAGTAGGGTCATCCAAAGGGGTACCATCAGACGGAGTATAACGCACATTGAGCTCAAGAGGCGTATCAGCCACTCTAGTATCTGTAATACGAGCTTTTTGAAGAACGTCAGCGGCATACTTAGACTGAGAAAGAAGATAACCTTTAGGGGAAGATGCAACTTCAATGCCAAGGAAATAACGTAAGGGACCTAAATCCTTCATTTCAAATTTATCATGTAAAGCCAATTTTAATTGGGTGATACCATCCAAATCATCATCTGTAAGAATCATGTCATCAACATAAAGGAGGAGAAGGATACGACCAGCAGAGGTAGAACGAACAAACAAGGCAGGATCATGAACACTTGATTGAAAACCAAGGGAACCAATAACAGAAGAGAATTTCTCAAACCAAGCATGAGGAGCTTGTTTAAGACCATACAAAGCTTTCCGTAAACGACACACCTCCCCGGGATTATGAAGAACACCTGGAGGGGGAACCATATACACCTCCTCAAAAAGATCCCCATTCAAAAAAGCATTTTTAACATCCATCTGTGATAAACTCCATTGATGAGCTGATGCAACAGCAAGTAAGGTACGAACAGAAGTCATCTTGGCCACTGGAGCAAAGGTCTCTTCATAATCAAGGCCATATTCCTGTGTAAATCCCTTAGCAACCAAACGAGCCTTATATCTCTCAAGAGAACCATCAGACTTAGTCTTAATTTTATAGACCCATCGATATCCAACCGCATGTTTACTGGGAGGAAGAGGAACCAAATCCCAAGTGCCAGTTTTATGCAGAGCAGAAAGTTCTTCATTCATAGCCTGTTGCCAAAGAGGATTACATATAGCCTCCTTGTAGGAGTTGGGTTCAGAGAGAGTATGTATAGAGGATAAGAAAGAAGAGAAATCATGAGAATAACAAGAATAACTAAAATCATTAGAAGAATACAAAAGCAGCCAACACCAAAAAACGCAGCAGCAAATCAACAAGGAAACACAGCAACATGAATCAAGATGGTATAAGGGGGGGAAGAACAAAAAACCAGCAGCACCCCAGGAGGATTGCTCTGATACCATGTGAACAATCCAAGCAGAAGTAGAGAATGCCAATATATTCACAAAACAATTGAATAATAATCTGCTGTAAGCTTACAATATATAGGCATATAAAGATGCCCTAGATAAGTAAAAGACCTAACTACCCTTATAAGACACGAACTCAAATATATATTAATATTGGCTATACAATTGTCACAGATTCTACTCCCCAAACCAAACCAACTATCATCACACAACGCTTCCAATTCTTCTAACCGATCCACGTCATCAAGAATGATAAGAACCATTTTAGCACGTAGTCTATGCCTTATTACTTTTATTCCTGTATCAGTGTTCCGTACATTTACATTACTTTGCACCAAGTCCAAAAGAAGTTTTTCTTGTAAACGTACTACACCTTGCTTCTCAGTTACCTCTCTAACATTGTCAATAGAGCTGCAAGCTTCAAACTGATCACGTATTGTTTCAAACACCACTTGTGCAAAAGTTGTCTTGCCTATTCCTCCCATTCCCCATATCCCTATGATACGAAAATCTTTATGCAATCCCATGTCCAAGTAGGAAAGCATTTTTTCCATGCGAGATTTCATTACAACTAAAACCTTGGATACATCAACGGTTGTTTGATTAAGTTTGGAGATACTTCCTACAATATATTGAATAACTTTGGGGTCATATCGGCAAAGAAAAATACATAACGATCTTATAAATATGGTCTGCAAGTTAGCTAGAATCATATGAGTAATCTGTTCTACAAGGTTCTGTTAATGGAGGCTGAGACATTGAATTAGTGGATTCTTTTTCAGAATCAGACTTTATATATATATATATAGAAAAGAAGAAGAAAAGAAGAGAAATGAGAGGAATTGTGATCTGCCTATCTGTCATGGACAAGAGATCACCTGAATGCTGGCCTGTGTTTTTTTATTTTATTTATTAAAACTA